TTGCCGAATGTGTACGTTTTCATATTTTGTAAGGTTGTAATTAAGGAACTTTGAAAAGCATGCCACCCCTCTCCTGGGGAGCCGGCACCAGATCTCCCGATGTACCTGATCCGCTTCTGCAGATGGACTCGTTGCTACAGCTGTGTGTTTACACTGCCAAACCAGCAGGCGAGACCTAACCACATACCTAAGCAGAGAATCATGTCCTAAGTCTCATAGCAATTCCCAAACCCAACTCTCTGTATACGCCTGAAGGCCATCTCTGTGATCCCTGTCAAAGTGCAGCAATGAAACTGTTTGAAGTTTATCATAACCTCTGTCCAGCAGCCAGACGGGTGGTGCACAAGATAGCAAACTCCTCAGCTCTGCAAATAGCATCCTGTGTGTCCTCTGCCAGCGGAGTGTTCATCATCCATCTTCTTTTCATTTAACTCCGTAGAAAGGATACGTAAGAATCCAAGGGAATAAAGGGGAAAGACTTGAAGTTTGAATGGGTCCAATTTTCATCACATCAGCATGTTGATTAACACCACAGCATGGGGGTTTGGTAGCCTGACCTTGTTTCTTTCAGAGCTGACACGTAGAAGTCAGTGCCACGTCCATCGTGTGTCCCAACTGCTGGCTGATATCACCACCTCCTGGTGGAGGGAGGGTGATTCTTCCTGACCTCTCCAGGTCTTAACCCCGTGTGGCATACTCCATTCTGCCCCCAGAGTGTGATCCAGTCTTCCATGCTACAAGGAGTATTACAGATCACAGGGCCAAGTAGTTAAATATTTAAGGGTGGTGAACAAATACATTTTGATATGATCTACCCAAAATATTTCATTCAAAATGCAAGGCTGTTATCCCAACTGTCCCACACACTGTGTTATGCATTTGTTTACAAAACCTTTGGGCCATTTCCGACCATGAGCTTTTAGCCTGGGTGTGTCTGCTTTCCTTGGGAAGCAGCTCCATTAACCTCAGTGGAATGGATTGGTCCACTCTTCCTAGCTTCATTCCACTTAAACTTTGAGTGTTACTTTTTTAAATACCATTTTACGGGTCATTCATTTTGTATGTGCTTCTCTGCCTCCCTTCCCCCCTTCTCTTTCTCTCATTATCAGAGCCTTACTGGTTAAGAGCAAAAAGTAAGTAACAAGGTAGACTGGTGGTCACAGTTCATGAGCACCCAGCTTCATGTGGATACCTAGATATTTGCCTTCCCTGTACAATGAGTGAGTTTTAGTGGCTCCTAAAAATAGACAGTTCAAATTTCTTAAGGTGGAGACTAAACCAGTATTTAGAAAGCTCTGCCCATTCTAACACTGGCTTACTTATTGGGCCTTGATTCTACCGTTTCTTTCTTTGTAGAGGAATCAGTGTTGCAGGGAAGAAAATAGGTCATTCCCCTCACCTTCTGGAGCTTCCTATAAATACTCACGTCCTTGCTTTGTTACTCCTTTGCAAAGGTTCTGGGAGACAAGTACATAGGTACTACATTTGCTGAATCCATTACCATGTCAGCTCAGTAGGACACGAAGGTGTCGGTCAGCAGAGCTCTTCTTTAACACTGGTACCAGGGACAGGACAAGTCAGGATGCTTGCTGGCCTTTGGTCTGTTGATTGGTTGAGCTGGTTGGTTTACGTGTTGCCTTGTCACCTTCTGTACACAGTGGTTGTATGTTAGGGACACAGATTTATGACACAACTAGTTACATGGAAGCTTTTTTCAGTACTATGTTAGAAACCCTGGGTTAGAGTCCATGCACAGCTACAAAGAGAAATGAAACCTTCCCCAATCTGAAGGACTTTTCTGTTTTATGGTAGAAATAGACGCAAGTACAATAAAAGGGAGAGAGCAGTGATTGCCAGTGTAGAGCCATAATGTGGGCCTAGTAGGCATGATTTCTTTTTGTTTATATATATATTTTTTAACCAACTATCTCTGGGTTCATGATCTGACAGAATTTGTGTGGGTCCACGGTGTTTTAGACAGGGCCTTACTGTCTTCCACCCTCAGCCTCCTGAGTAGCTGGGTCTACAGACACACACCCAGCTTTTTAGGATGGGCCAGGATCTGAATCCAGGCCTCCCGTGTGGCATCAGCCTGCAAAGCAGCGGCAGCCAGTGCATGCTAACAAGAGGTGGGCTGACAGAACACTTTTTTTTTAGATTTTTGCTATAGGGCTTGTGCATGTGAGTGCACAAGCCCTATAGCAAACAGAGACAGAAACAGAGACAGAAAGTGAGAAATCATCCCGCAGGGGGGATGGCCACATGTCAGTTCCTTTTCCTTCATTCTCCTCTCAATATTTTTGTCATGCACACACACATGCCCTACATGAGTTTCAAGCCACTGAGTCCGGGACACAAATCGTGTTCTGCCATGTGAGAGTTCAGTGACATAACCATTATGCCATCTGCTGGTCCTGACAGAGCACTTTTTTTAATTGAGGATTTTATTTAACAAATATTAACAATTAAAATCCTATTCAGGGCCTTCAGGTGGCGTGGTGATTGAGGCGGTTAATTCCCACACCGCCTGGAACTGTATGGTTCCAGTCCCAGACCCAGTGGATTGAGAGATACACAGGTGTGTGTGCCCAAAATCTTAAAAGGAGGGAGAGAGGAAGGAAAAGGGATTGCAGCTTAGCCATCCCATGGGAAGAGTGCTTTATCACTTTCTTTCTATCTTTCTCTCTGTGTTACTGTCCAACAAGCACACAGACCCTCTGGCAAAAAAAAAAAAAAAAGTTGTAAAACCCCATTCAGTTACATGTCTAAGAAATTTCCCTTACTAGAAGGAATGTTCTAGAGATTCCAGGACATTTCCTCACCCTGGCTCTGGGTACTGAAATGACAGCGTCGTTTGTTCTCTCTAAGAGCTCCCCCAGAGTTCATGTCCAAGTTGAATCTGGAACAGTCGATACAGATTGTTGTAGGAGTGTTGGCTGCATGACTGCAGTGAGTTTAATGCACACTGACGTCATCACAAAGCTGTCCAGTCCATCTTGCTCTGCATTCTTTCCCCCCATCAAAAATTTTCTTTGGTTTACTTATTTATTTCTTCTATGAGCAAGAGAGACAGAAGGACCAGCAGATGGTGTGATGGTTACATTGCTGAACTCCCGTGTAGTCGACTACAGTTCAAGTTCCGGACCCAGCAGCTTGAAACTCACACTGGGCACATGTGCGTGCATGCCCAAAATCCTGAGAGGAGAATGGAGGAGAAGGATTGTGGCATGGCCATTCCTCCTGAGGGGTGATTTCTTGCTTTCTGTCTCTCTCACTCTCTGTCTCTCTGGCAAGTGAATGGACCCTATAGCAAAAATCTCTCTAAAAAAAGAGAGAGAGAAAGAGTACCCTCCACATGATGTCGATGCTGTGCTCTACCTCCAGTCTCAGCCGGCCATGGATCATGGTCACATTCATGCCTGGTGTTCTCAAGGAGATCTCTTGACATGAACCTAGAGCCTTCCCATGTGGCTCAGCCTTGCAGAGTGTCACATTTTACTGCTGCACCGCTGTCTGGCCCCTCCCCCCAGCAGAAATGTTTGATCATGCCATAGCTTCCAGTAAGGACACCACGATTGCTATTTTGTTTGGCTTATACATAATTCATAAACTTGCTGCCTGTACCCCTGAGGTCAGCAGTACTTGTAAGTCGTTAGAGGATGCACAGCTTTATCTGCAGGGGGAAAAATAAAAAGCAAAGCCTGGGGCCAGCGGGTAGCATAATTGTTAAGGTATTGGATTTCCAAATGGCCGACCATAGTTTGAGTTCCAAACCCAGCAGCTTCAAAATCATGCCAGGAGCATGTGCTTATGTGCTCAAAATCCCAAGAAGAGAATGAGGAGAAGGGAATATGGCATGGTCATTCCCCCTGGGTAATGATTTTTCACTTTCCCTGTCTCTTTCTTTCTCTGTCTCTCTCCAGAAAGTGCACATGCCCTATGGAAAAAAAAATAACTCTAAAAATAAATAAATAAAAATTTTAAAAGCATACCCTGAATATCAGCAAGTTTAAACTACTTTTATTTGAAAAAAAAAAAAATAGCTGGCCTCAGGCAGTGTATTCTTAATTGTCTAAGCATCATGTGCCTGGCTGTGTGTGCATGCATGTGTTCGTATGTGTACACGGGCTGTGCCTAACTCGCACATTTTCAATCTGTGTAAAATATAGTGGATAAGCAGCAAATGACAGTAGGATTAGCTCCTGAAGATTTAACAGGAAAGAAGACAGCTGCCCGGCAAAACTGCCAATAGTAACTAGGAAAGGAAGAGCCCAGGTCCTGTGCCACCCAGCAGCTTCAGCCAGTCTGAATGACAGCAGGTTTGTTTAGCTCTGTAAACTCCCGTTCTTTACAGGCCAGGAGTCAATTTCGCTTTTGATTGTCATCATCTCTGGTATCTTGTGAAGATCAGCTGTGACATAATGACGGGAAGTTTCAAGTAGAAAGTATGATGGATAAGCAAAACAGAAGTTGTTTTAATGTCTCTTTGAATGTTGTAAGTGAGGAAAAACGACTTTTGAAACCTCATGGACTTTGAGTTTTTAACAGGGCCTCAGTGCTGGTTCTGTGGTTGACCAAACGATAATGCTTCCTTTGGCTCCAGTGAGCTGCAGGAAGTGTCCCAGCATCCCTCCTGGTGTCAAATGGCTCTCAACAGGACTGATTGGGAGGGAAATTAATAGGCTTCCCATTGTTACCGTGCATTTTTGCCAGGATATTTCATTAGTGTAAACACTGAACCCATAGTCATCTTGTTTAGCCACTTGACCCCGGTGATTTTCAATTCTGCTTGTGCGTGATGAAGTACAACAGAGGCATGCACGAGACAGGCACTAATTATTAGAGGCAGAATCATTGCTGACCCAGTACGAGATTAACTGCTCCTTTGCAGTCTTTATTCTGGGACATTAGCACTGTCTGGTTATCTTGCTTCAGTTGAGGGATTCAGGACAATAGCGGTGCTGATGGTAATGTTGGCAATTTCCCTGTTTGTTTTGCAGGTCACGGCCAGGGGCTTTGGGCCGCTGTTACAGTTTGCCTACACTGCCAAGCTGTTACTCAGCAGAGAAAACATCCGCGAGGTCATCCGCTGCGCTGAGTTCCTGCGCATGCACAACCTGGAGGACTCCTGCTTCAGCTTCCTGCAGACCCAGCTCCTGAACAGCGAGGATGGCCTGTTTGTGTGCCGAAAGGACGCTGCGTGCCAGCGCACGCACGAGGACCATGGGAACTCCGCAGGAGAGGAGGAGGATGAAGAGGAGGAGACGATGGATTCAGAGACGGCCAAGATGGCTTGCCCCAGGGACCAGATGCTTCCAGACCCCGTCAACTTTGAGGCCACGGCCATACCTGTAGCAGAGAAGGAAGAAGCCTTGCTGCCCGAGGCTGACGTGTCCACAGACACCAAGGAGAGCTCAGAAAAGGACGCGTTAACACAGTACCCCAGATACAAGAAATACCAGCTGGCGTGTACCAAGAACGTGTATAACGCATCATCACACAGTACCTCAGGTTTTGCAAGCACATACAGTGAAGACCACTCTGGCAACAACCTCAAGCCAGGGCTTGCCATGGGGCAGATTAAAAGTGAGCCGCCCAGTGAAGAGAACGAGGAAGAGAGCATCACACTCTGCCTGTCTGGAGATGAGCCCGACATCAAGGACAGAGCGGGGGATGTCGAGATGGACCACAAACAGCCCAGCCC